AAAGGAAACTGCTATTCGCCAACTTCCGGAGAGTAGTTTTACATCATGTAAATATTCTCTGACCATTGTGTGACTCTATTAAATCGTTTTCTTTGTGTAATATGGAGATAACAATAATATTTATGAGTAGTACGAGATCAGGAAAACTACTTGTAACATGCTAACGACATTCAACAACATGTCGAACAGTGCGTGAACTTACCGGGGATGTCTGGTATTGCGCCAGTAGAGATGGGTTCGTGTTCCATGGCCAAGGCAGTGTTGGATTATTCGCCATTTTCTTAACCGTGTCCGTGAAACAAGAATGAACAAAATTTCGCAAACTTGCAATTTATGGATATTGCTGGGAATTGTGGGAGTGTCTCTTATCTTTAGGTAATCTTTGCAGTTGGGCTGACCAAGCCTTTTCACTTTTAATAAAAGTCATCAATCGTTAGTTTGTCCAAGGATGAACGCAGTGCATGCCAAATAACGCAAGCAAGAATGTACTACCTTGAAACATCGAGATCACCAATCAGGGTTAATTTGGGTCTCTCCAAGGGAGATTACATTTCTCGCCTGTACGACCTCGTAAACTGTTCGTTATAATTAATAACTTATAGGCACTTTCTCCAACTCCGGCCCAGTTACCAAACACATCTTCTTCCGGATAACGATCACAGTGTTGACGACACTTTGGATTATACGAACATGTTGCAGTGCTTGCTATCTGGACGTGTTTGGCCAGAACATACTAATATTAAGTAGGTGATGAATGTCCTTTGTAGCTGAACGGAGGTAACATTCTCCTCCTTATATTTAGATATCTTTATCCCACACAAGACCTCTCTTTAGTTATAAAGTCGGAAAGTGACATAAAATGCCGGTAGGTTACCAGAACGGTCGAGAGAGACGACCGGTACCGAACAATGCTAAGGATAATAGGTCTTATCACTTGTCAAACACTGCAACTGATCATTCTTACCTTACAAATTAAAGAAAATGTATTGATGTTATCGACTTGTGAATTTTTAATTAAGTATTTCTAGATACGCCTCTGCCTTGTGACAAGTTACATATTTTGTGTACACGATTATTTCCACTATTTTGTATTTCTTATTTCTCACTAGTAACATCCCTGGTCAGCAAATTTGTGATGTTTGCGTTCAACAATTCATACTACATTTTAATGGTTCTGATGGCTTTTACCCCAACTTTGTGATGTTATAACCATGATGATTTCATTAAGCGATAATATATTCTCAATCCCTGTTGTGATATTTATTAGGAACTTGTGCTGAATAATGTTACAACCATTACTTATTTTGATAACTGATTTGATAACAAGAAATCACATCGTTTTACAAAAATGCATCATGTATGTTATACCAGTGCAAAGTGCAAGGCAAAATGTGTAAAACTTTTATGCTTGTTTGGTGCAACCTTTAAATACACGCTGTCTACAGCATATCTGTGATTTAAGATTTCGATATCCGAGTTTCATGTTATCGCATTCTACAGAACTCATAAACTATGTCGTTTATTATCTCATATCCTAAGAAGAAAGCGAAGACTTAGTCTGGAAAATCCCTCATATTTTTAGCAATGTCACAGATAAGCAGACCTATTTTTGATTTATGACCATCGCTGTATAAATTCCAACATTTACCAGGGCGATAGTTCCTGTTACAAGTCTCCAACTTTGCTGAAACCCTTCCAAGGCGTGTCCATGATTATGATTGTTTCACAATGAAAAAAATCGATGTTTTTTTCTAAGAAAGTTTATTTTAAATTAACATTAATTCAATGTTCTTGAAACTGTTTTCCTGTTTTCTTCAATTCAAATTTTGTTTAGTTTAGATTCACAGCGTCCGTATATAGGAACACAAAAACAGAATTAGTTCAACTTCACATACATTATTGAGTTTAAATTAAATGCATGTACGTTGCTTCCAACAAGAACGTAATTAAAATAGTGGATGCGGAGTGCATCAACGCCATGACATAACATTGAAATCTTGACGCTATAAATCAAAATCATAAAAATATATATTAAAGGCATAGCATGATACTTCGAAATAATGGCGTAACACATTGAAATCATGACGTAACACAATGAAATAATGACGTAACACATTGAAATCATGACGTAACACATTGAAATAATGGCGTAACACATTGAAATCATGACGTAACACATTGAAATAACTACGTAACACATTGAAATTATGATACGCGCTCAAATCGTACCATGATACACAACTAATGGAATGATAATCCAAATCTGTTGATAACGTCGTCGAAACAACTGTATTGCATACAACATATACCACTTTAAAGGTGAAAAGTTGCACTGGAATCCCTATATATAATGTTTTGTAAATTGAGATGACTACGCTGTAAAACGTTTCTTATTGTCAGTTTTCACATCTAATTAAAGACAATCACAGCTATACATGTAGCCGTTGCTGCATAAAGGGGAGCAACTGCTGTGCGAAAAAATTCTCGACCTGTAGAGCTATCCGTTACAAAGCAAGCAAATATCCCTACTGTAACATGTAAACAAACAAATATCAATACATTAACACAATACATCATATACAGTTATGTTGTTGATGTGAAGGCTCCAGATTTAAATTACCTATCGTAATTGTACCCGAGCTTGATATACATATATACATAAAAAATATATATATATAGAGAGAGCTTAAAATATGTATACATATAATATGTATATATAAAGAGAGAGCTTAAAATATGTATACATATAATATGTATATATAAGAGAGAGAGCATATAAATATATATAAAGAGAGAGCTGTATAATTTATATATATAGAGAGAACTTAAAATATTAACAATAATATGTGAGAGAGCGAACATATAGGTATATATATAGAGAGAGCTTACTATGTATACATATAATATGTATATATATAGAGAGAGCAAAAATATGCAGCATATAATATTTTTATATATATAGAGAGAGCACTATATAAAATATATCAAACATAAGCTATAAAGAGAGAGCTCAGAAGAGAGCTTCAACAGTTTTGTTGCTATATAGAGAGAGCTGAATTTTGCCTGATATATAAAGAGAGAGCGTACGCCAAAATAATTATATAGAGAGAGCAGAAATATAATTCTAAACTTCAACGGATATGACAACGATTTTTGTTAATTTTCGTAAATAAGCTTGTCCATTACAACATGTAAAATTGCTTATTTCAACAAATATTTTTATTGTTCAACGTAATTTTAAAGTAATTTAAGAAGTAATTCTGTCGAATTAACGCACGTGCTAAAACCACTTAATAGGTGTATTCCGATGATCGCAGAACTAGTTGTAGGATAAAAAGAGAATACATGGTCAGTGGCATATAAGCTGTATTTTGTCGAGGGTAACGAAAGACAAAATTAGTGAGCCTTTTCCGAGTTTCGGCCAACATGGACATACAAAGGATACATGTACACATACACACAGAGTAGAGTAGCAAAAAAGACAGGTTGATGGGTATGGTCATTGAAATCGTAGCTTTTTAAACACGTTAATTTTTTATACTAATATTGTCAAATTTGCACAAACCTTCGACTGGAAACAGCGTACCATCATGAAATCAACGAAAAATGCATGTGCTTCTTAGAAATGTAGATAAACAACTAAATTAACACAAGACAACGTGTCCTCCACATTTATGATATCATTGAATGAGTAATCTGGTGTATATTTCGATTTACAAATACATATTTTCGGATTTGCTTGTCCTGCCGATGTGATTTCATCCATGACATTGCCATCATTCTTACTCATCCAACCACGTTTGCATTTCAGCTTGGTAAACATCCGTTTTCTTTACAAAAATACTATTGCATTGTGTAATAATATATCATTTAAAAAACGAACACCCAGGCATTCACTTTCTGTGACCTCATGATGACGTAGGCTCTCACGCGCATATGCAGAACCAACAGTTTAACTGCTGTTGACCTGAAGTTTAGTAAAAATCTTGAAAAAAACAACAGAACAACAGAAAATATCACAAAAATCATACACTTGAATCTAAAAAATAAAAAGCAAGATTTGCGGTGTCATATGTCATATTCCATTAGGGAGACACACACGGTAACTTCATCACTGTAACATAAATGTTCTATTCCAGAATAGACACTATAACGCCTAGCGGAGGCATTGAAATAAATGATGTTCTCTGTTAGACACCCACATGTATTTCATCATTCATTTGTCAACGACATAAAATCAATACTGATTGATTTCCGAATGGGTTACTGACTTTCAAACATCATCCTAGCGATGTTATTTAGACTGGTTATGCGTTATAGAAAAGCAGCATTCTCAACTTTTTTGCTGACAAAATATCTCTGTGTGTGTGTGGGGGGGGGGGGGTGCAAATGTGAGTGTGTGTATGTGTGCTTGCGTGCGTGTGTGTGTATGTGTGCTTGCGTGCGTGTGTGCGTGTGTGCGTGTGTGTGTGAGAGAGAGAGAGCAATTAAGACAACAAAATTGTGTATACATGATACATGTCATATACAGCATACTGTAATAGAAAAACATGTTTATTAGAGCCGATGAATTCGAGTTTTAAACACTGTTTCAAGTTCGCGATTAATGAATTCAGACTTAAATGATCAACTTTTGGTCCGTAAACCAGATAAAAGCAATTTTGCAGTTTTCAACTTAATTCTTTACGTTTTATTTCGTCCCCAGTCCGGATCAAATGTTGCTGTTATTAATATAATGTTTGTATATCCGGTTTTAGGGGAAAGCATTTCCTGTTTATGTATTTTTCGTAAATATTTCTTTTTGTTGTTCTGTAAAATATAGGAAACTTGACTTTATACGTGAGCACGAAATGAAATAAATAACACATAAGTCATTAATTGAACAATAAAGATAAATACAGAGTAAAATGCAGAACAACAAATCCTATTGTAGATTGCATTTCCTGTTTCAAATAGGTCGTGAAGGACGTCGTTATACGACAAGGTGAAGCCACAACATCATGACGGGTGGCAATAGACAGACGACACAAGATAATCCAGAACCGTTTGCATTTAAATTTGCACTTTCAGCATTTTCAGCGGTTGTGGCAGAAGCAGGTGAGTAATGTTGTGGGTGTCATTAAAGAACAGATTAACGATTATGCGTGTTCTAAATTTTGTGTACTTTGATCTCGGAATGAGAAATGGGAGTTATTCCCCTTCTCAAACAGCTGATCGGAGCTGATTATAGAATGCCTGGAGCAAATCAGTTCCTTATAAATAAAAATTATGAACAGTGTTACGTATTTGCAACAGTTGATTAAGATTATCAAAATTATATTACTGTAATGTTAAAGTACTGTACTTGAACAATGACGAATTGATATTTCCTAAGGGCACCTTGTTTGTCTAGTAATGGGATTCGGCATGCAGTATACAGCTGAGGACTGTATTGAGATGGGATTATTACTTGATTATATGAAGTTCTTTCTATTGTTTTCTGTGTCAACTGACGCAAAAACCGTATAGTGATTAGATTGTCTCCACGTTTGATAAACAACAGGCATGATGTAAATAAATGTAAAATTTAACAAGGGACATGTAATATGTCGCACGTCCGAGACTAAACGAAAAACATTTATGTTGCAAATGTAAAAAATAGTTGTGTATGTTTCTATGTCGTAAGACAATGTAATCAATTGAATACCCATCATTATCTTTCACTCAGTGTATTTGTTGCTGTAGCTTTCAAGTGAAATGTCGAGCCAAAGAAATCCACAAAATTCCCATATACATGTATCTAGCTTGAACTTACTCAAAATGAATAAAAACCAGAGTGCGGAGAAACTGCTTATATCAGTTTTTAACAATATAGCAAAGAAATTTGATTTAACTGTCCTTGCTGTTTTTATAAACCATTTTTCTTCAAAAGTAATTAAACCAATCTTTTCAAACTAAACAGCATTAGAAAGCTAAATAATTTTTATTTGATGGTGATAACTTTTGTTACAAATAATTTAACTTTAGAAAATTTGACAATATGAAATAATAACGCATGTTTAAGCTATTTAACTGATGAAATACAACCCTTTATTGTATACCACTTTCAGTCTAAAATATGAAGAAAATCATCATTAAATGAAATACTTTTAAAAAGTTGAGTATATTTATTATTAATGAGATTAACTTCTCCAACAAAATGGCTCTGGTCAGGCCAGTGAGTGTAAAGTCCACACCTACCTCAGTATGGGTACAGGTAGATAAGATTAGGTAACTGTGATGGGGATTTGATGATTGAATTCACAGATCATGAATGAGCAATCAGATAAGCTAATGCCAATGAAGTCTGGTGGACCTAGTTTGTTTATCTCTCTATTTAATGTCCCAGATAGAAATCTGATATATGGTATAATCCATATTTTTCATACTAGCCTTAATAAATAATAAAAAATTTCCTGTAAACCATAATAACTTATTTCACAAGCTGATAAGTGATAAAAATCTACAGATTAAATGAATATGCAGATATTGAAAGATAAGTATAGTAATTATTATGTAATCTGATAAAGTTTTGTTTACTTTCTTGCAGCAACTTATCCATTTGACATCACAAAGACAAGATTACAACTACAAAGGGAGGGTGTACTTGCCAGCAGCAATGGAAGTCATGGAACCTTTATGCCACAACGTGGTATGGTGGCCACTGCTGTTGGCATTGGTAAGAAAAGTCACTGTGTATGCATTGGTCTGCTGTCACATGATGAATGGCACATCAAGAGCAGAAACCTGGGATTTTAAAGGGGGATGACTATAGGTGCTGGCATAGATAACCACTGTGGTAAGGCATAGATAGCCACTGTAGTAGGGCATAGACAGGGCATTGATACAGCATTGATAGCCACTGTAGCAGTTTATAGATAGCCACTGTATACATAGCAGGGCATAGATAGCATCTGTAATAGGGCATAGACAGGGCATTAATACAAATTGATAGCCACTGTGTACATAGTAAGGCATAGACAGCCACTGTAGTAGGGCATATATCCCTATTGTAGCAGGGCATAGCAATAGATACTGAAGCTGGGCATAGATTGCCAATGTAACAGGGCACAGACATTGCCACTGTAACATGTCATAGATAGCCACTATAGCAAGGCATAGATACAACTAAAAGGCTTGTTTAAGAAATGGTTTATCTTGGGTCATCATGGCGTAGTGTACTGTGATTTGTTTATATTGTATATGTCAATATCAGCTTTGTTTAGTGGTCCTGGAATTAGACCCTTTAGCTTCGTGATAAACAGACTAAACACAGAAACACAGATTTCCATATCAATCCCTAGCAGATTTACATACTCTTAGCTTTCATATTTATAATCACTTTGATTATGTATTATACAAGATGTTTATGTACAACAAGCAGAAATAATTTTGTTATATGTGCAGAAAGTTGTTTCGTATGCCCTAAACATTGTGCAGTGAATACCATGCACTAATACTTGTGCTTGTGATAGTTTTTATCTTGAATTATTTTCCAACAGTCCGAGAAGAAGGCTTCAGCAGTATATATCAGGGATTAATGCCAGCCCTCACCAGACATGTTTGTAAGTACACTGTACATGTATGTTTTTTTCAGACATTTATGAAGTTTATTGGTAGGGCTGTCACATATATCATAAAACTGTGCCTTATAATGGTACACCTCATATATTAATGGTTGCACAATTACATCTCTATGCCATACATTAATGAAGGCACACTTATACCCGATATCTTAATATTGACACAATTGGGTGTATATAGGATGTCTGACGACTAGAAGACTGCTATTGTTTGCCCCCTGTATTGTTAATATGAACCAAACAAAAAATAATTTCACCTCTGTTGCATTTCTACATATTGGCGTGTAATTATTCAGACAATAGTTGTTTTATGTTCTAAAGAATATTCAACCAAAACTGGCCACATGTATTACAGTGATCACTCTAGTCTACCAGGTATGGTAATTTAATGATAAAAAAGATAGTATTTGACTAAGCGGATCATCTTTGTACAAAGCAAATTATCCGATATTACTCTGACGTGGAATTGATTTATGGTTTCTTTTAGTTTATACAGGATTGCGTATGTCATTCTATGAAGTGATACGAGAAAGTATTTTAAAAAAAGAAGCTGATGGATCGTACCCTGTCTGGTAAGTTACAGAAACTGCCAGAGATAAAAAAAAAAATGAATTAAGGGAAAGTCATTATTTTTATCTTACTAAGTGATATTGTCATTACATTGTATCACAAAGTGAAGGAAGAATTCACATTGCTGTAAATGTAGGTCATTGAGTCCATTGTGAAGGTAGGATTTTTCTGACATTGTAAAGCAAGTTTGATCAAAATGAAATAAGTAACTGTAGGACCATCTTAGGTCAGGTCAAGCGTAAGAACCAAAATGGGCATTTGTCTCTGTTATACTGACACATTGTAGTTTGTAAATAGTCATTATGTGACCAGTGTTGGTCAATGACCTATTCAGTGTACAATTGAAATACTGTACAAGTAACTGAAAAAGACCTTTCTCTTCATTGCCCAATAGACTATAACTGATATTTTTTTTTAACTCAGGAAAGCTTCCTTGGGTGGCCTAACAGCTGGGGCCCTGAGTCAGTTCATCGTCAGTCCAACAGATCTAGTCAAAGTTCAGTTGCAGATGGAAGGCAGACGGAGACTTGAAGGCAAACCCCCCAGGTTTGTTACCTCTAAAAAAACATTTACATGACTCTATACGTGACAAACAGTTTTCAGATGGGTGGCTTTTTCATGCCAGATATCCATGGTCCGTTTTTAATTTTGCGATTGATCTCAAAAACAAAATTTCTGTCAGGTTGCCAACTTGGATTTTGATAGTGAAAGTTTAGTATTACTATTTCTTGAAAAATACGTGATGGATCATCGGAAATTTTGTGTGTACATTTTGTAGGTTCCCCTTGGTCCCTAATTTAGCCCTCTTGATTTGAGAAGTTATCAGAAAAAATATTTCGGTCAGTAGACTACCATCTTTGATTTGAAGTCCAAATTGAAGTCATCTCAGCTCTGCAATAATTGTCTTCATTCAGAAGATGTGATTCTTAATAAAGGTACAAAATTCTTAATGAATGATTACAGGACATATTCCTGGTAATTTCTATATAACATGCAAAGAAGTTTTACAAATAACTGTTGCTATTGTTTTCAAGAGTGAAAGGTGGTTGGCATGCATTTAAAAAGATTTTTGCTGAGGGAGGATTTAAAGGACTCTACCGTGGATGTGTTCCAAACGTTCAAAGGGCAGCACTAGTTAATATGGGAGGTAAGTCTCTAGTGTGGAGAGCAGCACTAGTTAACATGGGAGGTAAGTCTCTAGTATAGAGGGCAACACTAGTTAACTTGGGAGGTAGTTCTCTAGTGTAGAGGGCAGCACTAGTTACCATGGGAGGTAAGTCTCTAGTGTAGAGGGCGGTACCAGTCAACATGGGAGGTAAGTCTATAGTAAAGAGAGCAGTACTAGTTAACAAGGGAGCTAAGTTTATGGTATAGAGGGCAGCACTAGTCAACATGAGAATTCAATCTTAAATGTAGAAGACTGCAGTGTTTAACAAGGGAGGTAAGTTTTTAGTGAAGAGGGCAACAATGTGGAGTAATACACTTGGAACATAAGTATAAGCGGGTTGCATTCCTAGACAATGTAAACCTTTGATACAATTTACAGCAATTTTTAATTTGTTTTTTCTGCATAAAGAATATTCTTAGTTACATGTGCTTGTACTTTAAGATTTCAAATATCTTCTTTTCCAGATTTATGTACATATGATACAGCCAAGCAGAATCTATTGAAGTGGACAACTCTTAAGGATAATTATATTACACACACAATAGCCAGGTATGTGTATACCATTCATTTACACCAGTTTTTTTTTTCTTTATGCTGTAGAACTGTGTGTGGTTTAGGCGGAATGTAATATTTTGATACTTTTTTTACTTTTTCATTTGCCCTTTTTTTTTGTGTGTTTGCTATAGTGTCCTATCTGGTTTGGTAGCAGCTATTCTAGGAACACCTGCAGACAACGTCAAGACACGAATCATGAACCAACCTACAGAAAACGGCAGGTGAAGCAAATTTTTACTAGACATATCCATCTATAGTGTTATGGTAGTTTTCTAACTGAACTTCACACTACAGTGGTAATCCACAGCTACATGTTCTGTAGTTCTGGTAGTAATGATCTTATATGCAAGCACATGTTTCACCATGTATATATTATATACTGCAGATCCATGTCTAATATTAAATACAGGTCTGTATTCTGAATATAATATACTTATTGTTGTATATTTTGAGATGTATTAAAGGCCTTTACTAATAAGGTCATTATAATTGGACAAATTTATATCAGTGTTAAGGAAGAATTTGCAGCAGTTACTATAAAGAGTCTTAAGTGTTTGTGTTTGTGATAATTCCTGAAACCAAGACCTAGATATTGTGTAATATAGTTGTACAGTTATTATAATACTGGAATTCCTTGATGAAGATAATGATGTATTTTATGATTTGTCTCATTGTGAACTGTTTTGTATGTTGTAGGGGCTTGCAGTACAAAGGCTCTGTAGACTGCTTAGTAACAACAGTGCAGCAGGAGGGATTCTGGGCTCTGTATCGCGGATTTGTCCCTATATGGCTACGAATGGTAGGCTACTTTTTTCACCATGACATGAAAACTCATGAAATTACTATTTTTTTAAAATGATATATGTAAAAGTTCTCTGAAACAGAGGTGTTTGAAATAATATTGAGTGTCACCCACCCCATTAGGAAATGATATGAACTTTTTCTATATGACTAAGTTTACAGCTGTATGATGCAGTTTAATTTATTGTTTGGCTCTACTGTATCTCACTCTAAGTTATGAAAAGGTGCTATTAACTTGTGTGTCTTTTGTACAAACTATGTATACATGTATAGCATATCCTTTTTCAAAATTTGAGAAAAGAAGGATTGTAACTTCCAATGCTTTTGTGAGATTAAGGAGTAGTTGGTTGTACATTTGTTCAAAACAGTTCATGTGATGATATATGTGGAAGATACAGGTAGAAAATTCCAACAGCTCCCATTTTTCTTTTAGGTATTTTCATCAATAACTGATGGCGAAGCTTTGTGATATATTATACTTAATTTCATGTGTCATTGTTAATCTTGTAAATTGAAACAATGCAAGGTTGTAAATCTACTATTGAGTAAACTACCTGTGTTACAGGCTCCCTGGTCCCTCACTTTCTGGCTAACGTATGAACAAGTACGACGATGGACTGGAGCGGGCTCATTCTAGTTGTCCTGACAGATACAACTCAGGAATCTGGCAGTATCATTACATATCTGTTCAAGTGCCAAATAAAAAAATCCTCTCTGTTACTAGTAACTATGGAGAAATAGTCCCATAGATGTGATGCAGACACTGGATGATGTCATAATGCAAGTACATTCTGGTATGGTATGTGTACAGTCTTGGAGTGTAGTAGGTGTGATTTATAAATTGTGATTATGGAAATAGGATGATGAGCGTTGTTTTTTGATGTAAGAGAGTTATTTTTCATTGTATGAGATTTTTATTTTTTTATGGAATGTCATTAAGATAATTTAAGGCTAATATAGTCTCAAATACGCATGTATAGGTACATAACATACTTCATCTTTAATATTAAATCTCTTGACAAGAGGAGGACATTCCAAATGAATAGGGGCTAGACCCTGCTTTTTCAAGAAAGAAATCATTTTGTAACAGTTTCATTTACTGGTAAGCAAAGTTTCAACATACAGTAGGGATACTCTCCTAATTAGTAGTAATAGTAGTAGACACATTACCCTCATCAGGGCTACTCTGATAAAATCGTTGGTGCTGACAGTATGACATCATTCCTTGTCTATACATACTTGATGTTAATTGTCCATCAGTTTTATTCAGTTCCCAATCATTCTGATAGAGGTCCAATAATTTTTTTTATTTGTATTTTAAAGATTTGAAAAAAACACACCAGGTTGATATTTATATAAAAAATTCTGATGAGAATGTAGACATTAGAAAGTGTACATATTGTCTTGTTCCAAGTGTAAGAATTATGATGAGTGTGCTGATGACCACTTGGATTTATAAACTGTGAGTATGGTACACTGTGTAAATGAGGCAAAAGTCCCAGTTAACTGGATATTGTGATGAGTGTGACAAGGGACACTTGGATGTATAAAAAGTGAGTGTGATGCGACATATAAATGTGACAGTAGTTTTGGTTAACTGGACGTTGTGATGAGTGTGACAAGGGACACTTGGATGTATAAAAAGTGAGTGTGATGCGATGTATAAATGTGACAGTAGTTTTGGTTAACTGGACGTTGTGATGAGTGTGACAAGGGACACTTGGATGTATAAAAAGTGAGTGTGATGCGATGTATAAATGTGACAGTAGTTTTGGTTAACTGGACGTTGTGATGAGTGTGACAAGGGACACTTGGATGTATAAAAAGAGAGTTTGGTTAACTGGACGTTGTGATGAGTGTGACAAGGGACACTTGGATGTATAAAAAGAGAGTGTGATGCGATGTATAAATGTGACAGTAGTTTTGGTTAACTGGACGTTGTGATGAGTGTGACAAGGGACACTTGGATGTATAAAAAGAGAGTGTGATGCGATGTATAAATGTGACAGTAGTTTTGGTTAACTGGACGTTGTGATGAGTGTGACAAGGGACACTTGGATGTATAAAGAGAGTGTGATGCGATGTATAAATGTGACAGTAGTTTTGGTTAACTGGACGTTGTGATGAGTGTGACAAGGGACACTTGGATGTATAAAAAGAGAGTGTGATGCGATGTATAAATGTGACAGTAGTTTTGGTTAACTGGACGTTGTGATGAGTGTGACAAGGGACACTTGGATGTATAAAAAGAGAGTGTGATGCGATGTATAAATGTGACAGTAGTTTTGGTTAACTGGACGTTGTGATGAGTGTGACAAGGGACACTTGGATGTATAAAAAGTGAGTGTGATGCGATGTATAAATGTGACAGTAGTTTTGGTTAACTGGACGTTGTGATGAGTGTAACGATGGTAGTTGCTATTGAACTATTGGTCTGTTGTAATGGGTATGGCAAGTTTTGTAGATTTTAGATGGGTCACTATTGAGTAGATGAAATGTTGTTTTATATATACTGTGTATATATGAGTATAAAGAGGCTAGAGTAGTCTGTGTTGATATAAAACAGGAGTTTTTGTGAGAATGAGGAGGTATATAAATTTTAGAATAATCCAGTCAACTTGACATTAGTGTTTGGTGTGTGACATGTATGATTATGATGATAAAGATTTTACACAATAATATGTACAAGGGGTCAAATCATTATGTTTTATGTTAGATTGCTGTGTGATATTATGGTATGAAATTTTGATGCTAATGATACGATCAAAATCAAGAAGTTTAATTTTTGATATATGTAAGATTTGATGTGATGCATGTAGAGTTGTACTTTACAGGTGTGATGAGGCTGGATGATCATATATTTGTATAGTTTGTATCATCCTAGGTCCTGCCAAACTTCACACATTTTTGGATTGAATTTCCTTTATTTTAAATGTTGATATGTAAGCAGAATATGGAAACATGTAAGTTTAACAAGAGAATTACAAATGATGTGTAACACATTACAAATGTATAAGATACAACATTAGTGTTGTTATCTGGTCACAAACGTTGATACAATATAATAGCTGTAACATAACAGAGAAATTGTAATCAGACACAATCTTAGGAAATCAATTATGAAAAAATAAACTCTTCAGGGATATATAATATTATTATGTATTATACATCCCTGGTTGGTTCTGTATATGATACTGAATGTCATAGAAAAAAGGGTTTGATGCTATTGTAGACATTTTTGTGTTGCCTGCAGAGCTGTAAATATAAGTTTGTCCAGAATGGCCAACAAATTAATGTATTGATTGATTCAGTTTTTGTCTTCCTGCTTTGAAGGAGCGAAACCGAGATAAACATGTTACTTTCCCTTAAGGCATTTGAATTCATGAAGAATTTGCATTTAACTAGTTTATCAAAAAGTTTTTCAGCAGCCAAAATTTCCACATATTTACATACTGTTGATTAAATTTTGCACACCTATAATATGGCAATCAAGATTTGGAATACTTCGATAATAGTTTTCCTTCCTATTTAAGAAACTAGGTAATGAGTCCATAAATTATTACGCACATTTAAACAGCTTTTGTTTTACTGTAATATAGTATGATGTGATCAGCCTTCAAATACATCAATTTATTAATAATTTTGTGTTTTTGTTACCAATTACATTGATTACCTAACACTTGGTTATTATTGATATAAAGTACACATTAACATGGCAATAATCAAAAACTCATTCTGCATTAGTACAGATAAATCAATATTAAAATACTTGATATTAATATGGAGTATATTCAATGATAGATATTTTTAACTATATGTTCAAATACATATGTACAAGCATACTGATGTATGTGTGAATTGGAAGGCTAGTTTGTAGGTTAAAATCTGATTATTCTAATATCTGGTCTTTTAATATTAATGAACAGTTCCATCCATTTTAGATAACCCTCAGGGTAAAGCATTATATCAATATAGCATTAGCATTTTTAAAAATTACCTAATGGGGAGTTTTCGATATGTTGTGACAAGGATTTGTGACCTCAGGTGATTAACTATGGTATAGTTTCGTACCCATTATGTCACGATGACGACATCAGTTGTTTTAACCAGATTTATACTTTTTATTTGATTATAGTGTATTAAATTTTAGTTTCACATATTTAAAAAATTAAAAATGAAGGGAAAATGTAAGTTAAAGACAATTTTATTCATAATGTGGAGAATTGTCTATCATCACTCATAACCAGAAATGTTTATATAGTTTTTGTATTATCATCATTGGTGAAAGAAATTAAATAACTTTTGACAAAAACTGAAGTAAAAATTGACAAAAATATTGTTTTTGTCCCAGAAACACCAACTTGGGGTGACTGCACTGGAGCTATATATATACACTTACTAAAGGCAAAGAGATTCAAATATTTGACATCTTTGTAAGCAGTGTGCTAGAAGGTTTTGTCTTCATGGTCTGGAAATCTCATTACCATTTGTATTGATGGTTACATATACATACTAGTATATTAATGGCCAAAATGTACCGGTCTATCCCAATGATATTGTTGTAGCTTCCAAAGACCTGTTAAGGATATGATTTATAGCAAAGTGTAAACATTTTATGTAATATAAAGAGACAATTTTGTTAACTACATGTAAAACGCCTCCTAAACGTATAAGAACTTCCTTAATGGTCAGCCTCAATACCTAAAATCTGTCGATATTGGAAATATTAGTTTGAGTTATTTATAAGGTTAATCTTACAGGCACTATGTTGTATCAGTTCATACTTATCTAAATTGCCTCTTTGACATATCTATGAGATACACCTGGTATCTATATCTATGATACACCTGGTCTCTTTATCTATGAGATACACCTGGCCTCTATATCTATGAGATACACCTGGTCTCTATATATTGATACACCTGGTCTCTCTATCTATGATACACCTGGTCTCTATATCTATGATACACCTGGTCTCTATATCTGTGAGATACACCTGGTATCTATATCTATGATACACCTGGTCTCTATATCTGTGAGATACACCTGGTATCTATATCTATGATACACCTGGTCTCTATATCTATGATACACGTGGTCTCTGCAGTAATATACCTTGCTTCCATGCCACATTCACCTGTGACATTAATGGTTGTCGATGATGTAGAAAATAAACGCATTATATTTTGTTACTGGTGTTTCTGTTTTATCAATGATTTTCATAATAATTTATTTACTATTATAACGGCTGTTGTCATAGAGTGTAATTCATTCACACAATTTCTTAATGTTAGATCAAGAACAGGGCGAATCTATAACATTATAATCTGTATCACAAGAGCAAGCATTAAAGATATGCATTCGCCATCTTGGGGTTTCACTGGAAAAATGATGCATACTATCACAGGTCGGACCCTAAAATTGCTCTACTTAACGATAATATTCTGATATAACAGTTTATTACATAAAACATAGCTGCAATATTATATTCTAAACAGATCGACAGCTTGTGGTCAGTATTTTGACAGGTATTAAATATACAAATTCATCTTTAAATTATCTGGACCTTTACATGTTTGTTAATAATAATTCAAAAATATAGACATCGTCCATTATATTTTGATATCATACAAACTACATTCTTATTTGAGTAATAAAAGTAAATATATATATGTATCTAAAATGCAAGAGTATTAAAAAATTACTAGAGTTTGGTAGAATGAGTATGCTTTTTGACACATAGTTGTTCCACTGACGAGTTGTACTTATCGTCACGTTCTCTTGTAGCTTGTGCGAGTTTGTTGCCATGGTTACGATTTCCTGCCTCTTCTTTATTAACGCATGCCTCTGTTAAGTAGGGGACCGCGTTGGTAACGGCCTGTCCTCGCTCTCCGTTCGGTAAATATTTATGATCCAGGACTTTTAACCAGGTTTGCCTCTGATAAAATAAGTTTAGATATTTTCATATACGTCAGAAATCAGTTTTCATGATGCTGTGATTTCTAAATAACTTAACAAATTCATTTGTTCATATATTTTCAGCCCCATCAATTTTCATTCTTTTATATCAGTTTTCAGTGTAAAAATTTGTTTAAACCTGTTATCTTTTTCCGTATTAATTTGTTCATGATAAAGATAAATCATAATTTGTTTATTTTGTTTGTTCAAATAATTCCTATGTATCTTACGAAAAGCGTAGGATACATGACATAAACAACAAGAAAATACCAACATGTCAACATGATCATAATGCAAACTCAAATTCAATAAACCTAGGGTGAACTATAAACAAAATACTTTTCATGGAGACTCCTGAAAAAAGTACAAGGAAAATAAGACCCGAAAGTGTAAGCGTCCGCTGCTTCATCGACGACACCTGGCATGTAAATGTTTGTCATTCCAAGTAAGTAATGCCACGTTCTCAGTGAGAACAAGGTATACATTATGGGTACTAACAGGCAAACTAACTAGCATCAAACACCGAGCTTCATATCGCATAAATAAATAGAGTATTTCTAAATGAGATCACTATGGCGACCGTAAAATTTTCCTATAATTTTCATGAACCTGCATTTTTGAAACCCTGTGTTACAAGTCTGTGTGTCAGATGACGACTTCTTGCACGAAAATCATGTTAATGGAAACAGGTTCCTTAATATCCTGGATATCTAACCAACAGTGAAACCATAGTCTGGGGACAAAGGGATATCGCTTTCTAGAAATGGAAAATTCACAACAAGGAAATTGAAATCATCACAGCTTGGTGTCCATATAGTGGTTTGGTTGTTGGAAAATATCGAATCAACTTATGAATGCGCGTTGCAAAAAGTGTACTCAAGTCGTTTACGATTATCCAGAACAGTTGGGATATTTGGTGCACATTACTCTCTAATCATGTGTTCGGAATATACTAATACGCAGTAATGGATCATGTCTAGTTTTGAAGGAGATATCAAATTGTCATCAGTGGATAGTGTAAATAAATGTAAAATAGCGCAAAAACATAGAATGACACGTGTCCTGATTTTTAGGGAAACCTGAAAGATTAGCAATTAACATGTATAAAAAAATTATGTTACTGTGGTGATTATCGCCCAGTCGTTCGAATTCAAGTATAAAGTTCAACGTTGATTTAATCAAGTGTGGACATTGTATGTACGAAAAACGATCAGTAATCGAAACAGAATCAGAAAAACGTTAAAACAACGTAAAATGAACATTTGAATGTTTTCAAACACACAAACAGAATAGATGAAAACAGGGTAACATCAACACAAACAATCAAAAATACAACATACACGATGGCAAAACATCGGCAAATTACAGAGGATATAAACTAAAACCACATACAAACACCGAAGTATTACCATATACGCAAAAATACAACATCGCCTACAAGAAATTTGTATCGACAGACTGGGAACAAATAGATTTACCAAAAAGAAATTTCAGTCTACCTATAAGTGATCTGGAGTGGCGGAGGTTTTAGTCACAATATAACTTAATCAAACATATACAATTTACTTACATCTTCAAATCTTACTCCTCCGTACAGAAATGTGCGAACTGCCCGAGGAAGACAAGGAAAACAGTGGTCAAAGAATGGGAGGATGTAACGGACGTCAACATCGACAGGGTCTGGTCGTCCTGATCAAGAGAAACGCAAAACTCGGCACACGGATTTTAATACAAGATAAAGTATATACCATCAAACAAATCAAACTCATATACAAAAAGAAAGGTATTTTCACCGCAAGTGGAACCCAACGTTATGTCTACCCCCTGTACATGTTGCGTCCATTATGATGTCTCCTGTCACCTTACATGTGTGTTACGCCCGTTAGATATCTCCCTCACCATACATGTATGTTACGCCCGTTATGATGTCTCCTGTCACCTTACATGTATGTTACGCCTGTTATGATGTCTCATGTCACCTTACATGTATATTACGCCCGTTATGATGTGTCTTGTCACCATACATGTATATTACCCCCGTTATGATGTCTCTTGTCACCATACATGTATGTTACGCCCGTTATAATCTCTTGTCACTATACATTTATGTTACGCCCGTTATGATGTCTCTTGTCACCATACCTGTATGTTAAGCCCGTTATGATGTCTCCTGTCACCTTACATGTATGTTACGCCCGTTATGATGTCTCCTGTCACCTTACATGTATGTTACGCCCGTTATGATGTCTCCTGTCACCATACATGTATATTACGCCCGTTATGATGTCTCTTGTCACCATACATGTATGTTACGCCCGTTATGATGTCTCCTGTCACCTTACATGTATGTTACGCCTGTTATGATGTCTCATGTCACCTTACATGTATATTACGCCCGTTATGATGTGTCTTGTCACCATACATGTATATTACCCCCGTTATGATGTCTCTTGTCACCATACATGTATGTTACGCCCGTTATAATCTCTTGTCACTATACATTTATGTTACGCCCGTTATAATCTCTTGTCACTATACATTTATGTTACGCCCGTTATGATCTCTTACACCATACATGTGTGTTACGCCCGTTATGATGTCTCTTGTCACCATACCTGTATGTTAAGCCCGTTATGATGTCTCCTGTCACCTTACATGTATGTTACGCCCGTTATGATGTCTCCTGTCACCTTACATGTATATTACGCCCGTTATGATGTCTCTTGTCACCATACATGTATGTTACGCCCGTTATGATGTCTCCCTCAACTTACATGTATGTTACGCCCGTTATAATGTCTCTTGTCACCATACATGTATGTTAAGCCCGTTATGATGTCTCCTGTCACCATACATGTATGTTACGCCCGTTATGATGTCTCTTGTCACTATACATGTATGTTACGCCCGTTATAATGTCTCTTGTCACCATACATGTGTGTTACGCCCGTTATGATGTCTCTTGTCACCATACATGTATATTACGCCCGTTATGATGTCTCTTGTCACCATACATGTGTGTTACGCCTGTTATGATGTCTCTTGTCACCGTACATGTATGTTACGCCCGTTATGATGTCTCTTGTCACCATACATGTATGTTACGCCCGTTATGATGTCTCCTGTCACCATACATGTATGTTACGCCCGTTATGATGTCTCTTGTCACCATACATGTATGTTACGCCCGTTATGATGCCTCCTGTCACCATACATGTATGCTACGCCCGTTCTAATGTCTCTTGTCACCATACATGTATGTTACGCCCGTTATGATTTCTCCTGTCACCTTACAAATATGTTATGCCTGTACAACAGAGCATAAGCTAGTGTGAAAGTTTCTAGGGTTATGCAGTGCAATGACGATAGTTTTCAGTTTATAGCTTACAACACATACATCAGTATGCTTTTGCGTATGTATAAGACTCCACGGACCCCAAATGACTAGTTTACAGTTTACAAATATGTCTTAACTGATAGGACAGATACCAAGGACCCTACAATGACTGTAGTTCATAGTTAATAAAATTTACCTGTTAGGACAGACACCACGTACCCCACAATTACCGTAGTTTACAGTTTACATAGCTTACCTGTTAGGACAGACACCATGGACCCTACAATGACTGTAGTTTACAGTTTATATAGCTTACCTGTTCGGACAGACATCACGGACCCTACAGACATCACGGACCCTACAATGACTGTAGTTTACTTGTTAGGACAGACACCACGGACCCCACAATGACTGTAGTTTACGTGTTAGGACAGACACCACGTACCCTGCAATGACTGTAGTTTACCTGTTCGGACAGACACCACGTACCCGACAATGACTGTAGTTTACCTGTTCGGACAGACACCACGGACGCTACAATGACTGTAGTTTACCTGTTAGGATAGACACAACGGAGCCCACAATGACCGTAGTTTACCTGTTAGGACAGACACCACGGAGCCCACAATGACTGTAGTCAACATACATATTGGGATCAACCAAAAGTACGATATGGAGTACAGCACGTCTATTCCTTCACTGTAACAGATAAACCCGAGTGTAAGACGACTGTCGGCACACTTGGCTTCTCAATTGGTAGTAACATAGCAGATGTCAAAATAATTTCTAATAACAAAGCGATATATGGTTATATGGGGAACTGTTGACAAAACGCCACGTTAAATTATGTTGTTAAAAAAATAACATACTTTTATTCAATATCGAATACAATACTGAAGTAAAACTTTTCACATTAACTACTTATGCTATATAAAATCAATGTCTCATGTTTTCTATATAGTGCCATCAAAGGTGATTTGTCTTTAGACGATTTCCCCCATAAAATGTATTGCTCACAAAAGAGTTGCTCGGAGTTGTATATTTATGGTTTTCAATGAAAATAAATTCGACGTCAATAATGAAAGAATACTTCAACTTTAGTTGTTAATTGATGAATTATTATAATAAAACTATAAATTAAAATATATTTCTATTTTTACAAGCAACATATCAGCATTACTTGTTTTCTTGATCTCCGATAAAGACGGCGGAAGCTGAGCTATGTGCTGTGATGTTCCCTCCTAACTGACTCTGGTTGACGTGATTATTCCAGCACAAATCTGTAGAGACGGGCGGTAACGTTTGTGCTCTAATACGGGTGGGTGAAAAACTCTGTCCAAGGGCTAGCCACATTACAAGTCCCATACCTGTTAACCCTCCTGTGATAACTCCCTGGAGTAGAAACGTAAACAATACATTATGTGTGCATCTCGCCAACTCTACTTTTAGCATTTTGTAACTATGTGCTCATTAAACCATATATATATATATATACCTTACTGTTGGCCCAAGGACAGTATGCCGCAAAGAAGAACATACCGGCTGAAGCTCCACCGAAACTGGACAACATGCTGTAGACGATCTGTTGATATTCATAAAAACAATAACACTTTGTATCGAGAAAACACATTAAAATCGAAATAGGTATCAGAATTTATTTTCTATATTATTTATTTACTGAAAATCTCGAAAACATATTTTATCATTGTTATTATTTTTATTTTGCCAAGCTGTAATCCTACAATAATTAAATATGGTTTCATTATTTCAGAATTTCTGTCGTTACCATGCACTCTGATATACCTCTGACAACGGGCCTTCTATTTCAGCAATCATGAAGGACACACCTATTCCAATGACTCCGTATACTGGTACTGAAACGGAAGACAGACGAACGCATCAATCAGGAGAATGCCTCAAAGTAGGTATACTTTGTCATTTTATTGACCAAAAAGTTTTGACAACTTGTAACTACTCAAACTTCAATGCGTAAAATACAAGGAGAATAACACATGTAATAGTCTGATACAACCAAATACCAGATTAATGTCGCTGACAAAACTCACCACACAGTTTGGCTATGAGGGTGGTATTAGCATCGGAGATATCCCTGACCATTGGTCGAACTATGTCCACTACTGTTTGAGCTGATAGACCGTTCAGTATGGAAGCTATGACACTATAAACACAAAGGCACACGATCAACATATAAGTGAATGTCACCTTACACTGGATAAAACTGCACCATGCAGTCCACTGGATAAAACTGCACCATACAGGCCACTGGACAAAACTGCACCATACAGGCCACTGGACAAAACTGCACCATACAGGCCAATGGACAAAACTGCACCATACAGGCCACTGGATAAAGCTGCACCATACAGGCCACTGGATAAAGCTGCACCATACAGGCCACTGGATAAAACTGCACCATACAGGCCACTGGATAAAACTGCACCATACAGGCCACTGGATAAAGCTGCACCGTACAGGCCACTGGATAAAACTGCACCATACAGGCGTTTTCGTCCTTGTAGGACTAATTAGTGGTAATAAGAGCCTAATTTGTTGAAACCTAGGAGTTGGCCGAGGAAAATCCGTATATGATTTGTTCAAAAAGAAGTCAAGACCCAGGTAAGATTGACAAAATAAGCACTGCATGTCATCATTGTTTATCTTTCTAGCAATGAATTTTAAAAGTTTCACGGAAAAAATGAAAAGAACTGTCATTTTCTCAATTGTAAAAATAACTAACACCTGAAGGTTACGGGTAATATCTTTGGCAATCGTATGTGTTTTTTTCAACCGAGGCACATCCTTGGAATTTTGCTCGTCATAGAACTTATGTTTATCACACAGAATTGATGTTAATAGCTTAATGATGTTAATATGATATATATCTTTATCAAGTACTTTTTACATTGTTTTCCTGTTGTTGTCTATCTAATATGCTACATGTATTTATATTAGCTCTAACTTGTCATAGCAGCATGAAGACTTCGAAGTAGTTAATTTAAAGGACATATACCCAAGACAAATGTACTGTTTCTGATAGAAATTCTCAAGCTGTAATTATATACACCAGCTATTATAAAACACACAACTACGTCTATCTATACACTGTAGTAGAAAACAATTGTGACAAAAAGAAATGCTTTTGGACTGGCGTGTTGGTAAAAATCATTCATAGATTTGCTCATCGGTGTACCTGGATGTGATGAAACTTTTAACAACCATTAAGAATATACTTTTGCTATGTATTTAACCACGTGTGGTTAGTCTACCTTCATTTTTTATTAATCATGTTAAATCTAAGCTATATATTATATATAGTGATATGAACATACCAAACAAAAATAAATTTTATCCCGTTGTTGCATGCAGCGACCCTATGTAATTATCTTTAATTGCATATTAAGATATACTCATATTAGGCTTGATCTTTAACAAAGATATCGAACAAGTTGAGCTCATACATTCAACAGCATTACCTGAGCGAAGCACTGAAGACTGCTGCCATGAACACTCCGGCCATCCCCGGCTTGTCCCGGAACAGCATCACCACTAAGTAGGGTAGAATCTTGATATTTCATTAAAAAATATGTATCATACATGTTAATGCAAAATTCTACAGACACAATATTTTATGCAGTAAAATATAATTAGTAACCAAGTTTTTTTCTCAGGCACAACTTGTTTGCGTTTGGCAGTATATTAGTCAGCAGGAATACTATTAACTATATTGATCAAGAATAACACAATTGTAAATATTGATGTATAAGGTTGTCTTCATGCAAATCCCATTTTACAAAACATATTTACCAAATTCAAAACATATTTATTCTTCCCATTAACGTTCAATAATATATTAAGAAGGAAATTTCTTTGATTATTAGGGTTTCAATCTGTATCTTACGGGGGATCAGTATAATGATAACTTTATATATGCGCTTCTAACATATACATGACTGATAAACAGAACCTACCTGATTTGGATTGTCGATAGCTTCAGACTCCAAGGGGTCACATTGGATTTTATAGAAGTAAGAGTAGGCGAAAATCCCCACACTACAGGAGAGCAGGAAATTGACAACAGTCGTCCCTGCCGAAACTATAACCACCCTGAAAGGATATTTGTAATTTATTAACGACATTAGGAAGTAACAAATTGCTTTTACATGGAACCTTTGTGTAGCTATTTACTTCGATATTGAACCTTTGTATAGCTATTTACTTTTAAATGGAACCTGTGTGTAGCTATTTACATTAACAATGAGCCTGTGTGTAGCTATTTACTTTTACTTGGAGTCTGTGTGAAGCTGTTTACTTTTAAATGGAACCTGTGTGTAGCTGTTTGCTTTTAAATGGAGCCTGTGTGTAGCTGTTTACTTTTACTTTGAGCCTGTGTGTAGCTATTGATTTTAATATTGAGCCTGTGTGTACCTTTTTACATTAACAATGAGCCTGTGTGTAGCTATTTACTTTTACTTGGAGTCTGTGTGAAGCTGTTTACTTTTACATTGAACCTGTGTGTAGCTATTTACTTTAATATGGAACGTGAGTGTAGCTGTTTACTTTTACATGGAGCCTGTGTGTAGCTGTTTACGATAACATTGAACCTGTGTGTAGCTGTTAACTTTTAAATGGAACCTGTGTGTAGCTGTTTACTTTTAAATGGAGCCTGTGTGTAGCTGTTTACTTTTACTTGGAGCCTGTGTGTAGCTATTGATTTTAATATTGAGCCTGTGTGTAGCTATTTACTTTAACAATCAGCCTGTGTGTAGCTGTTGATTTAAACATTGAGCCTGTGTGTAGCTATTTACTTTAGCATTGAGTCTGTGTTTCACTTTTTACTTCAACATGGAGCCTGTGCTATTTACTTTAATTTTTGGGAAGCCTATACCTATAACTTGAGGATTTAAGTTCTGTAAATTTAATATATGAAAGTTAAAACTTACTTTCGCGCGTCCCTCTGAGTGGGAACTGAACAAATCCTCTGAATGGTTGACTGTGTAGGAAGTTGACAGGTGAGGGAGATAAATGAACCTATAATCAAACTCCAGTAGGAGTGACGTACTGTCGGACTTGGACTCGTGCTGAAAAAGGTAACAAAATATCACGCGTTGTAAGCAACACAGAGGTCGAACCCCGTTCGTAGCGAATTGGTGGTGGCTCGTTATTGAGCAGTTAACATATCGCCCTATTGGTTATTACATGTAATATTTCCAACCTCAAGCTTTTCTTCTGATCTGAACATATTTAGGGGTTTCATAAAGCGTCTTGTACACAAGCATTATATTTTCAAAAGTGGTGGACAGTGACCTTTGAACTTGACCTATGACCTCAAATCTCTAATCAGCACTTGACTTGCATAGGGTTTTACATCGGTTCATTGGATATATTGTACACAAGGTTAAACAACTCAACGGGGATCTTTGACTGATGCACTACTTCGAAAGACATTTGGATACTTACAATGGAAGCCGTAACCTCATCCCTTCATACGCTGTATCAAACACTGACTTCACACTGCCAACCTTTATCGTAGTCTGTTATATCGGAAATAATAAAGTATCACAAATGTTAGTGGTTAACTTAGTAAAATAGTAAGGACACGGTGATAACAAAGGAGTAGCTGTTAGCTGTCAACCGTTTTATAACATACCTGTATTATAATGCTGAATGTTCCGATAGAGACTACCAAGAGCTGGAACACATTACTCCAAACGACCGCCCTCATACCACCCTGAAATGCATATTTATATCAATAACATTAAAAAAACTATTTGGGGATACGCTGGTCTTTAACCCTGTAGAATGCAATATATTTACTATCCAGACCACAAAAAACATTTTTGCAGCTGTTGATTTATTGATGCTATTTCATATGTAACATTATACAATGTATATATTTAACACGTTAAAACTCACCATAGCAGTGCTTATAATGGCCACCGTAACTACCATTAAGACTGAGGCCCACATCGGGAAATCGGTGACTGGACAAAAAGCAAAATATATGCACAAGTTCTTTTTTTTAGATATTGTCAGTCAATTCCAATAGGTCATTATGCTATTTTATGTGAAGTAAATGGTATCCAATAGTAACTCACAAATGATAACGATGATACCACCACCGCAGTGAAGGTAATAACGAGAATCAGCTAATATTTTCCTTTAAAATGAATAAATAACCCATACGTTATTTTCCAGTTACGATAACACTTTTTTAGACTTGCATAGATGTAAAAGAGAACACACATCTTATAAAATTGGCCTATCAGAAAAATGTACATCAAAATACACACATAATCAAAATGTATTAAGTCTGAGAGTTTACATTTATTTCAACTATTACAGATATTTTCTCTCACACATGAGACATTTAGGTCATTCCTCAAGACACTATAAGATATTCTTTTTGTACTTATTTTACTTATCATATTTATAAAGTTGGAGTTTTATGGAGAACATCCGCGTGTCATGCCATATGATCAAATGTGTGACTAGTATGGAAATTGGTATGTCGAGAAATGTCAGAACATGTCAGAAAGAATGGGTTACAGAAGCAAGGCAATATGACAATACCAAGTAAATAATCAATAGAGACTATACACACCGGAAGAGATAAGGCATATTTATGTTAATTTTGTTTAAGGAGGATATACAACTCAAACTGTTATCTGTCAAATTATTACCTACCAGTCTCGATAGCTGTCGCAGGGCCAAACAGAATAACTCCCATGTAAACAATCTGAAAGGAATAATGATATAGGATACAAATCCGCATCATCATCTTTTCTCCATATTTTTATAGAATTCACATCCGCAATATCATATTTCAAAATCCTTTTTAATGCCTAACCTTTTGATAATGAGGGATCGAATTTCGGTCCTCTAATGGCAACCAAGAATACCATAACACATTCAATATACAAAGGAATAGTACTCAAAGATTATGGACATGAAATGTATGATAACTATGTTTCTGGCATTTTTTTTTAGTAGGATGTCATTTGGCATTCTCGTATATAACTCTACGTTTCGTTATGTCTATTGACAATACTTACATTAAATATGATTCCAATGCTGCTTGCTACTATCCGAGGACCCCTATTTCGGAATCGGAACTGAAAATACTAAAGTAATATTATATTACGGTTACGGATTTTTCATACTAAATTAACAAATAACAAGAAAACAGTAACATAATAACATAGTCATGATTCAAACTCAAATACATTGATTTGAACAAAAGAAAGAATTCTATGGAATCTCTCGAAAAAATGAAAAAAATTAAAAACGGGAAAAGAGAATAAAAACTGGTGTTTCGGAAGAGTAAGCATCTTCTGCCTCACACTCGCCATGTAAATTTTTGTCAATCCAAGTAAGTTGACAGTTATGATAATTGGAGCAGGTGTTTGAACATCAAATGAACTGTGACACGTAAACATCATAGATTAGGGACCCGTTGAAGTTGTTATTCATAACTGGAAAAAAATCACTATAGGGAAATCGAAATCGTCACGCTTTTTATATAGCTTGGTGGAAAGCTGTCCATGTTGGTTTCGTTGTTGGAAAAGATCGAGATATGCGACTGATGAAGAAGAGTATGTCGTGTCATTGATTTCGTCCTTTATATGTTTTTCTCTTTGATTTGAGCGGATTTTCACGAAATACGCCTCAGTATAATTCTCTCATAACAAAAAATAAAAAGTATTCTTTCAGTAAAGAATGGGATATTGTGGTATATAGAGTGACAAAATCAAATGTTCTTATAGGATGTAGATTTTTTAGAAGGTAGTTTCGCAAAAGCTCTTTGAGTTTTTTTTTAAAGACACGTACTATGAATTCCACATCTTGAATAACATTAAGACTGTAAACCAAATTTGTTAGTGCTTGGAAAGGTTGTAAGTAGCTTTGACCATGAAAGGTTTGATGGAACAGCTTGACGAGCAGCAATGAAACGTTATTTAGATGGACTTTTGTAAAAACTTTGGGAATCCACTATAAACGAGGGAGATCAGTTTCCTTTATCACTAATAGGCAATCTAAATGACGGTCATTCCGAAGCATGATAAGCCAGTATGTCTTCTTTGGAAAGAAAAGTTGTATAGTGTATCGGTAAGGTTTTTTAAGCTAGCCTAGCTCTTTTTTCTTGTTATTGGACGCAGACACAAAGATATACCCATCATGTATACCTTAAAGTGTGGATTTTAACTCACCTCGTACACGCTCGTGATTTTGAGGGGATGGATGAGAGGTATGATGGAACACATGGCGAACAGGTTAGAGAGTACTAGTCCAATGGCTTGCCACATGAAGGGAGCACCGTAAACATATATCTCCGCCGGATTACCAAGGAGCATGATGGATGACTGGAAGGAGACGGTCATCGACAGAGCTACTGGTAGGATGCGCAGCTTCCTATCCGCTAGTACATACTGCTTAATTGTGTCCTGTTTCGGTTGACAGCAAGTCTGGTATATCCCAATTCCTACTGAGACGAGTAGGATGGACACAAAGACGACGTAGTCTAAAGCAATCATTCCTTGAACATCGTATTGGGACATCATGACTAGTTGATAAAGAATGTTACGTATATGTCTTAAGGAGATGTTTTGATATATACCAAGAACACATGTATTACGATGTTTTCAAAATAAAGCATCTTTTTGCGGTGTTCCCCGTCATATTAAGTAAATATGGTATAACTGAAGTACCTGTATGTACCTATGGTTTCAGTGTCCGACAGGCAATAATTCAATGATAAATCATTACTCTCAATTACGAAATATTTGATCAACTTTCTTATCCTTAGAATTAGTTATTGACAAGTAATGCCAGAATTCCAAGTAAAAAGTAGTAGAAACATGTGAAGATAGGAACAAAGAACACGCAATAACTGGTCGACGTGTCATATTTTGTGTACATGAGTGTTTGCCCGACATTCAATGATAGATCAATAATATTATATAGTTTATATAAAATTAATATAGCACAAGATATAGAGCGATTATCAAAAATGAATAGTTTCCAAATTAGACAAAAAATCGAAATTATACACATAGAGTTGGTAATGACGAAACGTTAATTTCATTTCTAGGTTTTATATACGCCCGTTTAACAAACCATTATAATTATCTAGGTACAAGTAGTGAGAGCAGTGTTATTATAACTACTAATGAACATGTTAATATATTGGATAATGTTCTGTACTGTACAACAAATCCATTATTACAAAGGTCATATCGTTTCATACACATACTTTCGATAAATCTATTCACGTCAATATCATACGCCATATTTTCTTTTATTAATGAACATAAGACTACATATAAATAAAAAAGGATTCTATCTAATTTTCCACATACTGATCAGTTTAACGATTAAAACGTAAAAAAGATCAGACAATTTAGATGCACCACTTATAGTGACAGCTTACATTGCTTGTAAGAGGTTGGGATGGAGCCGAATTTAACTTTTGTAAGTTGATTTTGTCCAGACAGCCGGTGATAATTCCAAATACGTCAGAATTATTACGTAAGTCCAGCCGTAAGTCATGACAATAAAGCCAGGCAGATTTAAAGGTAAGATAGGGCCACTAATTGTGACCATATGAATTTGAATTATATAACCACTAAATGTTTGATATGTACTTGTTGTAGACGAGTAATGCAACTGACAGCTGTAATTTGAATTGGATAGAAAACTCTTTCCAGTGGGTTTAGACCAAGCTTAACCTTAAACCTCAGTTTACGTTAATCAAGCTGTTGAGCAGCAATACCAGTTTAATTCACCATCTCTAACTCGGTATCTACGCTGCAATCTCAGCTCCCAGATTTACAAATTGTGTTACATGTATTTCATTTTCTGCTTCACGTTTTGTATTGCTTCGCTAAAACGTTTATAAAATAAGTATGATATACTGTTAGTTTTGTTGTCATCTATCCCAACCAACGCCTTTCACTGTTTGCACCTACTAAAAATGTCAGCCACTCCCAACGTTATAGAGAGTATTTCAAATAAAAGGAGTTACATTGTCCTGTAAATGTCACTTTGACAGAACTTCTATCTTGTATAGAAGCCTTCCATGCCACCGTAAACATACATTTGTCAATATAACCCGTTCTGAGGTTTGATAGGCGTTTTAGTACTCAATTACAAGCTCAATAAAATCGTTTGCCTCCCCCTTTTAGTGTCAGAATTGTATATTCAAATGTCATTTAAAGTGCAGTGTATTTGGAAATATAAAAACGGTTTTGAATCAATAATTAACATATTTTTTCCACAGCATTTAAACAATTCACAGGTTTGACACATGAATTGCATAGTAAACTGTCCCAAGATACGACAACAATTTTCAATGATGCCTAATTCATTCCAATACAACACATATTCCCCCAGAATTAAGCTGTTAAATGATAAATTATTTCGTTTATAGTTTCTTGGTATTTGGCTTTTTGCACTTTTGAGAAGTGTAGATATCTCGGCCAAGTTTTTCACTGATATACACAGGTATAATAAAGCATTAACGCTAACTGTGGTTAATTATGGATAAAAAGGACATATATCTTTGCAATCAATTCATATATTTTAACCACATCAAAATATATTTATGAGATGAGAAATTCACACCTAAAAGCAAAATGAATTTCAAATTTTTATTCAATTTTTTCAACATCAAATAATTATACATGTGATGGATATTTTATACATGTTGAAAAGTTAATGACTGGCCTTCTGCAGCATCTTTCTCACGCATAAAAATGGACTTGTGTTGGTATATTATATTTTCATCTGTCCCAAAGAACATTACAATAAAAACGTCCTGAAACGATTCAGTACTCTTTTAAGTTGGTAACTGGATTACATTAATATATATTTGCTATTCTCTATACCTATCTGAATTGAGAAGATTGCAAAAATGAAAATTTGAATTTCTTTTATTGTTTCTTTTAAAAAACGATATATTCCTGTTTAAT